TCTGCATACAGAGTCAGCCCCTTGATCTGAGCCTCTCTGGTCCAGAAGCTTGTCAGTGCCCAAGGGACTGGGATGGAGCTGTTTGATGCCAGGTTTTTGGTTTTCAGTTGAGAAAACACTGAGAGTGGTGGTGACTGAGGCCTGATCCCTGCTTCGGTCCTTCCCACAGTTCGCACAGCCAGATGTTGGCTGTGGGGGAGCTCCAGTCTCCAGGGCGGAATGAGGGAGAAAGAAGGGCAATAACATTTCAGGGAGATGGTGCAAGTTAATAACGCTTTACTAGAAACCTCCTCATTCCTAAGGGCCTGCTCTGCGCCGGGCCTGGGCTAAGGACATTACATACATTGGTCTAATTTTTGCCAGAACCACCTGAGCTAATCCCACATTTTACACATTAGAAGACTGGCTCAGAGAGAGTAAGAAACAACACCACCCGGCTACTAAGGGGCAGAGCTATTTTTCAACCCCATTGTGCCATGATGATTACTTCTGGGCTGTGGTGGACTCAGCAGAACTAGAACCACAGCTCCTGCCCCCAGGACTCTTCTGACCTGAGAATTTACCACCTGGAGAAAATGGTTTAGGCCACCTTGAGCTTTGAGGGGTCTCTAACACAGGCTGTCCTGTTGGTAGAATCAGGTGATGTGAGGTCCAGGTGTTTGAAGCTGGTCATCTGAGTGAAGGCTCAGTGGTCCTCTCTCCATCCAGGCTAATGGGGTCACCTTGGGGGCCATGTCATTCTCAGCCATGGCAGAAGCTCGGCTTCCCATCCTGCCTCCCACTCCCCCCAGCCTGTTGTTCCTTCCCCCCAGCTAAGCAGGCAAGTTGGCCTTTGTAACCACTGACTTCCAAGACTGAGTGTGTGTAGGGGAGAGCCTGTGTGCCCAGTGATGGTGGGAAGCAGAGATGTGGGGCATGGGGACAGAGCGAGGAGAAGGAGCCAGTGGGCTGGGAAACCCATTGCTTAAAGGAGGGTTCTTTGGACCTGATCACATTCTGTCCAAACCAGTGGCTGAGGTGGCTAAAACAGCCAGAATTTAAAAATAATACACATTTGTTTATTTCACCTCTCTTCAAGAAAAGACTACAATCTAAATTTGCATCTAATCTTGGTCAACAAACAGTGAGGACATGGTCACTTTACCACCCGTGTAGTCTGTGCGTCCTTGTCCCCGTGGGGGTTCCCCTTTTCCACTCGAGGTCGGTCTCCATTCACATACCTGAGTATTGACATACTTCCCACATTTCGTTTATCATGGCCTATAATATTCCATCATATCGATGATTCACATTCTGGCAAAACATATTTCAAATGCTGTCTGGAATGGGCAATGCATGAACAGACTGATAGTGAATGATCTGGTCATGAGAAGATAAAACACATTTGCTTTGTGGGGGATTTTACCTTTTGGGGGGCACAGGGACTGTAATAATGCAAATTATTTTTCTGAAGACCTTCCCTTGAGGCAGGCAGAGCCCTGAGCTAGGAATCTCAGTACCTAGGTTCTGAGCTTGGCTCTTTCTGTTACTGACTTTGTGTGTCTTTGATACTTTCTTCCCCTGGTTCTCAGATTTTACTTGTTCCGTTACGAGAGTCACGGAAATCACGAAACCACAGAGATGGAAGGACATTACAGATGACTTTGTCTAACCCTCTTGTTTTACAGATGAGAGAAAAACGGGCCCTGGAGGTCAAGTGACTTGTTCAAGGTCACAAAGTCAGCCATTGTCTTTGCAGATGCCACCCCCACCCGCCTGGTGGCTTTGGGAATCAAAACCATCAGGAACCCAGAATGCCTCTCCTTCAGGGCTGGAAATCTATAGAAACTCTATAAAAAGCAGCTGTATCCTTCACTTTCAATTCTGGAATGGCTCTGGGCCTCTTGGTCTGTTGCCTCTTTGCTATTCCAGTATTACCCATTCTGATTTCACTATCTCCATGTTGGCTCTATATTTGGCCCTTGCTCTCTCTAGTTCCTTGGATCAGAGGTTGAGTTCTGAACTTGGATTCTAGTTTGGCCTTTGGCACTTCTCTCTACCTGGCCTACACCTTGGCTGTGGGTCAGAGGCACCCCTGTCTGGTAGGGAGGGTGGCCCCTAGGGGGGACCTTATTCTTTGGAGCCCTAACGGTGCTCAGGGGCAATCCAGGGTGCAACACAGGGTGGTGGTTGGGGGTGGAGACCCGGGGCAGGAAGTGGAGGCAGAGTGGTTTGGGGCTTGGCTTCCTATCTCCACCAGGACAACTCCACTTGGATCTGGATTCTGTATGAACCTTCTTTGGTAAAAAGTTGGAAACTACTGATCTTTTCTAAGTCCCTTCAATTTATAAAGGAGAAAGCGTAAATGGAACAAAGACAAAGGAAATATCAAGGTCACTTAAGTGATTTAGTGGCAGATTAGGGCTTTTGGAGGAGACAGGCCCAATGACTGGGGCACACTCCTAAGCACATTGACCCAGGAGCATGACCCACGCCTCCAGGAGTCTTGTGGTTTCTGAGTCTTGCCCTTGTTCTGCTGGGAGAGGCCTGAGGGCCCAGAAAGCTTGAGTGCTGTTGTCACAGGCTGGCTCTGAGCAGTAAGGGCCACCCACCCCTTCTGCTTTGAGCACCATGTGCTGGAACCGGTGAGGCCCCTTAATGAGTCCTAAAGAGCCCTGATGCCACAGCTCATGAAGACTGTGGGGTCAAGTCCCGAGGAGGTCACTAACCTCAGTGTGATTCTGGATTTGTTATATAATCTCTCTGAGCCTCAGTTTTCTCATCCCTTAAATGGGAGTAAATAATATTTGCCTCTTCAGACGGTTATAGGAGTCAATCTGATCATGTATGTGTAGCCTTCATGACAGTAAGTGCACAGTAGACGTCCAGTCATTGTTGCCAGATGAAGGTAGCCGCCAGGGAAGCTCACAAGACTAGGATGTCAGGTGCCCAGTCTGGGACCTTTCCCGGTGCCCAGCACAGAGCACAGCATAGACAGGGCTGTCAGGAAATGTTTGATTAAGTAAACAAAGGACGAGCGACAGGCTGTCCTAGAGAGGAGTCCCCACACAGCTCGCCCGTGTGCACATACCACCTCACGTGATACCTCACCTCACCACGTTCAACCTTAAGGTCGAGGAAGAAAGAACTCAGGACCCCAACACTTTGGGGGATCTGGCCAAGAGGAGTGATCATGTCTGTTTCCCTCCTCCATAGGTGTCCTCACCCTCCTACAGGGAAATGGAATGGAAATGGAAACTAAGAGCTGCCTCTAAAGTAAAGGGAGAGGAGGTGGGTTCCTGTAGTTCCCCAAGCTCAAGGTTCACTGCTGTCAGTGGGGACTTAACGCCCATCGTGGTTTTGTGGCCTTTAAAGTCTCTGTGGGTCATCCTGGGTGGAGGTGGAGTTGGGCACCACATGGATGGGGGACTCCCTTCCTACCCTCCTGTGCGGCTGGGGGGAGCCTTGGATGCCCCACCGGAGCTCCAGGCTCAGCTTTTCTAAAATGCATCCTCAGAGTTGGGGGCACTTGAGGTGACATCAGGGAACTGAAACCTGGAGCCAAATGAAGATGGGGAACCAGGGAAAGACGAGACTGGGAAGATGGACCTGGAAGCACAGAATTCTGCATGGTTCTTGGGGATTAAACAACTAAGCTTTTTTTCTTTTTTTGTACCAGTTTATGGTGTATGCTTCTTGGTGGGACCCTTATAAATGGGCTAAGAAAATGGACATTTATGAATGTCCAAGAGAAAGCCCAGAGAAGGGGATAGTTTCCAGTTTTTCCCACTTCCTTTTATTCCCCATGATGACTTGGAGCATCAGCCCCTCTTCTGGGTTTGGAGCTGAAACCCTCCCTGCCCCTTTGTCATGCTTGGCTTTGAGGTCACTCCACACCTCCTTGATGTCCATCCCTTTTCTTCTTTGCTTAGCCAGCAAAGGTTGGGACTTGTCAAAAGGATTTTCTACCAGGAAATTAAGAGTGAAAGAAACCAGATTTTAAAAAGCATCGAAGTGTAAAAGAGTGGTTGTAAGGGGCTGCGGGGGAGGAGCATGGAGAGTTGTTGTTTAATGGGGACAGAGTTTCAGTGTGACAAGATGAGAAGAGTTACAGGGATGGATGGTGGGGATGGCCGCACAACAGTGTGAATGTACTTAATGCCCCTCAGCTATACACTAAACAATGGTGAAGGTGGTAAATTTTGTTATGTGTGTGTCACCACAATAAAAAAAAAAAAAAAGAAAGCATCCAAGTGGTTGGATTTACAGATCCTTTGCATGGGGTTTAGCTTCACTGTTGGAGAGTGGGTTGACTTGTCGTTTGCTCACTGTGATGGTTAATTTTATGGGGCAACTCACCGAGGCTCTCGTGCCCACTTGTTTGGTCAAACACCAGTCTAAGGGTGCCTGGGCGGCTCAGTCAGTTAAGCATCTGCCTTTGGCTCAGGTCATGATCCAGAGTCCTGGGATCCAGCCCCATGTCGGGCTCCCTGCTTGGCGGGGAGTCTGCTTCTCCCTCTGCCTTTGCTCTCCTCCTCGCTCACACGCTCTCTCAAATAAATAAATAAAACCTTAAAAAAAAAAAAACAACCCACTAGTCTAGATGTTGCTGCAAAGGTACTTTTTAGATGTGAGTAACATTTATAACCAGTAGACTTTGAATAAAGCAGATTGCCCTCCATAATATGGGTGGGACTCATCTAACCGTTGAAGGCCTTAAAAGCAAAACTGAGGATTCCCAAAGAAGAATAAATTCTGCCTCCACATTGCCTTGGGACTCAAGACTGCAACATTAGCTCTTGCCCGAATTGCTAGACTACCACCCTGCCCTGCAGACTTTAGACTTGCCTACCCGCCCCCCCCAAGTTGTGTGAGTCAGTTCCAGAAGGTCTCTCTGTGTCTGTCTCTGTAGATCTACGCCACCCCCCCCCCACACGCACGCACACATGCGCACACACATACCCACACCCTATTGCTCTATTGGTTCTGTTTGTCTGGAAAACCCTGACCCATACACTCACCTGGAACCAGTTGGGGATGGAGGTGCCCAGATTCCTCCCTGAGGGGAGACAGGGGAAGTACCCCTCCCAGGTCTGATAAGCACTTCATTTCCTCTCCTACTCTGCTTCCCTGGCTTCTCGCTGGGAATCAGCCCTCCTAGGGTCTGTGCCCTCTTCCTCCAACCTACGTGCCCTTCTCTGGTGCCCCTGCCCTGGGCCTATGGGTCTGGCCTACCCTTTGGCTCTCTGGGTGAAAGGGTGTCTTTCTAATGAGGCCCCAAACATTTTTTGGACCCTGGCCCTAGTCAGGCTTTCAGGAAGCCACTTACTGACTTTGTAGTGGGTTACACTCTCTGTGTGGCTTCAGTACATGGGGTTTGGCTTGATTCATTTCTCTCTGCTTTCTATCCACTTTTAGCATATCTCCTGGCTGCTTCATGGCTGGTTCTGCCTTTGGGTAAAGCCTTGATTCATTTTCTATTTTCTCTGTCAACATCCATACCTAGGTTCCTAAGGGCTTAACTCTCAGGCGCCAGGTTTCCTTTGTGAAACCTATGAGCATTATTAATTCAGCTTCTTCCCACAGCTAGATAGAGACCCTCATCTCCTCCTGCCTGTAGGTCCTGCTGGACTGCCCATAAAAGAAGGATGGATTAATACTTTCTCTCTCTCATTTATCTATTATAATATCTAAGGAATCCATTATATACATTATCTTATTTAACCCCTTCCAAAACCCTATTTAATATATAGTATCCCCATTTTATAGATTTGAGAACTGATACACAGAGAGGTTATGGAACTTGTCCCAGAACACACAGTATGGGAATAGATTTCAACCCCAGGCAATCTGAATCCAAATCCTGTGCTCTTAGCCAGGGACAGATACAGGAAATTGAGCAAGTAGAAAGGAGTAGGGAATGAGGAATAAAGATAAATAAGACAGAGATATAAAGCAAAGTCCAGGAAGAGGACAAATATTACAGTAACTTGCAGCAGAGGGTCCTGCATGCACATGCGCTGCAGGTGGGCCATGAATTTGGCTCCAAGCTTCTAGCCGCCAAGCACAGGTGGGAGCCTCCTCTGTCTTTCAGCTCACTCGCTGAGCAGAGGGTCTGATAGCTCCCAGTGTCATCGTGATCAAGCACAGGTTACCAGCAGCATCCACTTCCCTAAGCCCTCTCGAGTGCCTTATCATGCAGGGTTTTCCTCAAATTGAGGGTCCCAGCTCTCTGAGCATCCTACTGCTGCAGTTTGGCAAAATATTTTGCACTTGTAGTAAAAATGATATGTAATTCCCACTAAGAAAAGGGATGAGTCTTCCTCTCTTAGAATTATGATTTGGTATTGACGTGAGATTGTAAATTCTGAGAAAATTGCAACTTTAAGACTTAGCTTTCTTTCCCCCTTTATATGCCCAACAGCGCCTAATCTAGTGTCCTGCTCACCGCAAATGATGAATACATGAGGACTGTGTTGAACAAATATGAATGTTAGCGGAGGCTGATGAGTGCTCCCGCAACACCTGCTTGTTACAAGAGGGAGGACCCATTTCCGGGGAAGACCTCCAGGTCTTAAATGGCCTAGAGCTAATGAGAGGCTAATGAGTGTAGTGCGTGGAAAGAGCATGCAATTGGAACTCTGCCGTAGCTGTGTGACCTTCAGCAAATCCCTTAACCTCTCTGAGCCTCGGACTATAAAAATGGAACATGCCAATCATATGAGAGGATGTTCTTTCTAGTGCCTGGAATATGGTAGGTGGTCCACAAAATTTATGCACTCAATCGGTCATTCTTTCAGAACATTCTTATTGGCCTCTGTCCCCCCGCAGGATTCACCGTGCTCTGTCCTGGGACTACAATGGTGAACAGAACAGACCGGGCTCTGGTAGATTCCCTCCTCCCCTGTCTCTTCCTTCCCTGAGGATGGTAGTTCCTGCAGCAGACATTTAATAATAGAGCTGCCTCGGGGCACCTGGGTGGCTCAGTCAGTTAAGCGTTGGACTCTTGATTTTGGCTCAGGGGTGGTGGGCTCCAGTCCCCCACCTCCCCCCACCCCACCCGGTGTTGGGCTCTTTGCTCAGCTGGGAGTCTGCTTGAGATCCTCTCTCTCTCCCTCTCCCTTTGCCCCTCCCCTTGCTCACACACTCTCTCTCAAAATAAATAAATCTTAAAAAAAATGATAGAGCTGTCTCCAGTCCAAGTCTGAGGGAACAGACGGGGAGTGGCAAGAAGATTGGGGAGCCCACATCGAGAAAGGTTCTCCTCCTCCGTGGAGTCCCTGCGCCGCCGGGCGCCGGGCCCCGGGCCAGCCGACCGCAGGGTTCCCATCGGGCGCTGCCCGAGCCCCGGGCCCCGTCTCATGGGACTGCCCCTGGCCCACACCGCGAGGGGACCCCGGGGCTCAGCAGGGCCGCGGGAAATGATCGCACCTTTCTCACGTGGTGGAGCAGAGCGCTCCAGCGCTCTAGGTCGGGGCTTAAAAGAGAAGCGGGCATGGTTTAGGTTGGTGTGTGCACTCACAGACAAACCCTCCGTGCGGCGGAAACAGCGCGCTGATTATACACCGGCCTCAGCGCTCTGCTCTTCTCCGGGCTCTTCAGGGTGTTGTGCTGGCATTTTCCTCACCCTCGGGACCAGCATTTGCATCTCTCCAGTCTCTCAGGGAACAGTGCGCGCGCGTGCGTGTGTGTGTGTGTGTGTGTGTGTGTGTGTGTGTGTGTGTGTCCCACACGCATGCGCAAACATCATAAACTCAGAGGCTGCCAAGTAAGGACTGAAAAATCTTAGCAGGGATTCTCTCTTTGAATCCAGCACAATTCTATAGCCCTAGCACGCACTGCACTCACGAACGTGCACTTTATATGATTTTGTGCTTCGAGTCCCAGGCCCCATTTGTCCATGTCCTGGCGGTCCACGGAAGACTGGGCTGGCCTTGACATGTGCAGGGTCCGTGTCTCCCCCGTCAGACTGGAGGCGCCCTGAAGGCAGGGGCTGTCTCCCCCAGCAGATTGGAGGCCCTCGAAGGGCAAGGCTGCACCTCGTCCTTCAGGAGCCTCTGCTTTTGATGTGGGTGCCAGGCTGTGCGCCCAGAAAACAGCTCTGACCCCGTGATCATGAAGGGAGCCTTCAGCAGTCTCCTGGTGCGCAGTTTCCTGAGATGTCAGACTGACAGGTTCTCGAGCTGACCTCATCTGCTCCTTTTACCTGCCGAGAGTGGAGGTGTCACCCAGTCACCCACACACTTGGGGATACAAGAAAGAAAAAGAGAAAAACGGAGGTAAGGAAGAGGGGAGGGGGCGTGGCATCCTCAGGTCGACCAATCAACTCGCTACCTCCCAGGCTCTTTGCCTGGACTCCATGCCCCCCAACTGATCCCCCGCCAGAGCCCCGCCCCCTGCCAGAGCCCCGCCCCGTGCTGGATCTGAGAGCACACAGTATCTGGCATCATTCCCTGATCCCCCCTTTATCCCTTAACTGAAAATCAAAGGAAAACAATAAAAACACCCTTCTCATGGTGTCGCCAAAACATTGCTTTTTCAGAATCCTTGTGCTTTTCACCAACCTAAAAGCTTGATGAGGGCAGGGATCATGCGTTTCTCATTTATTATTCCTGCCCCCTCCCCCAGCACTGCTATGGTAGATGCTTAATGAATGTTTGTATAAACGAATGAATGTGATTTTCAGGAAGGACCAGGGATGGATCTTCTCATGCTCCTGAGACCTCATTCTTCCCTGGCAAAGGGTCTCAGCCCAAAGTATCTGCACTCTGTCTTTTGTTGGAGAAAACCTGTATTCTGGGGTCTTGGGGCTAGGGGGCAGTGTTCACCTATTGGTACAAACTGGAGCAGAGTGTGCGTGTGTGTGTGTGTGTGTGTGTGCGTGTGTGTGTGTGTGTGTGTGTGTGTTGACGATGATGACTGGACATTAATAAGCTCTGGCTATAGAGAGACTTCTAGAGTCCCTTAAAACCACTTAGCTCATTTTTCCATAAGCTAACCTGCTTCTTAAACATGCCCGTGAAATGTTATTCTGCATATGTGCCGCTGAACAACCAGGCTTATCTGAAGATATAAATTTTTTTTTATCCAGTAAACTTTATTTATATATAACAACAGTACAAATTGTGTCCTTGGATTGCAAAATAGGAGTGTTTCATATTTACAATAGGTACACAATAATATATTAGAATAACCAAAAAAACCCCATTCTATTGGAACATTTTAAATACTTGGTTTTCTTACAGTTTTTATTCCACAACACCTGTAAAAACAACAAAACCAGACAACTATCATAGTATTTTCTTAAAAATATATATAATACAGATTCCAGTGTGTCAAGAAGAGTGGGTTTGGGAAGGAGAAGTTGGGGGGAAATGCAGGTGGGCTCAGGTCCCTAGTTTCATGGTATAAAGAGCTTGCCCCGTGTTCCCCAACACACTTGCTAATGGGGGACCATGTTCCATTATGTTCTCCACCTGTAATGTCAACATGGCAAATATAGCCAAAGTCAGGGCCTTGACTGAAATCCAAAGGTGCCTCCCGTCTTCCTTGAGGCTAGACAGGAGGAGCAGGCTGCACAGCAGAAAAGATAGAGCCCAGTCTGAAGGTGCAGCCCTGTTACAGTGAGGAGGAGATAGGGCTGTCCACCAGAGGCCAAGAATCTCCAGTCTGCTTATTGGGCTGAGGCCTTGTTTGACAAGCAGTGGTCTTGATCAATCAACTCCCAGGATGTCCCTGATACCAAGAGTGAAACTTACCTTTCATTCATGGTATCACTGAGCCCTGGGTGCTAAAACTTCCCTCTTTGGGAAAACCAGCAGAAGGCAAGAGATGGGGAAGAGAGACTTTGGAGTTATGAAGAGGATGCCGCCACTTTCTTCAAGCTTGTTCCTGAGACAAGGCATCGAAAGCCCTGAACTTCACCTCCCAAGTCTCCCTGTGGGATCTGCTTCCACAGCCCTATAACTATGAGGCTGTTTTGCATTTTCTGATCACCCCCTAGCCCCTGCCCCAAGAGTCTCAAGTCTTTCCTGTCAGTAGCCAGGCCTCAGGAGCCTCAGATGCAACAGTGTGGCTGGGAAAAAAAACGGTCTCCCCCAGGCCAGCTGCCGGCCCAGTGTTTACCTGCTGCAGGTTAATGGGGGCTTGTGTGGCAACTGGGATGCACCTGGAGATTTTGCAGCCAGAGGCTTTCACATAGTCTCTCTTTGTTCTACCCAGATCGTTTTTTAGTCCAACACATCCATCCATTGCTTCTGCTTCATGCTCAGCAGGGCCAGAGGCCTTGACTGCTATTTCTTGTCCTCATTTGGTGGAAATGAAGGAAGGTCAGGAGCTCAAGCAGCAGGGGACGTACTACCAGAAGAGACAGCAGCCGTGGAAGTGAGAGAGGCTCTCACTACCGAAGGAATGTCCCCAGAATAAGGTAAGGCAGCTGGGTTGGTCGGCTTTCTTCCTTCTTCTGGCCCCCTTTCTGCAAAATTCATGCCCTCTGCAGGTGGTGGGGAGAACTGTGCCTACAAGGTTGGTGGCAGGGACCAGTAGCCTGGAGAATGTGAATTTGCTAGAAGAAGGTCCTTCTTGGTCTTGTTGATTGCTGTTTCTCAGCATCCCAAACAGTCCCTAGCAGACAGCTGTGGTGTATGAAGACTCTTTGAATGGAGGAATGGAGGAAACAGTCCCTGCCCTTGAGTGAGGCTAACAGCTGATCCACACTTTGAATGACTAAACTCTGCAAGGAAGGGGAGCTCTTTGCAGTGGTGGATCAGAAATTATTTGAGAGATGCACTGTGGGGAGAGGGAGGAGGGCATGTACATGATCCCCGACCCCGTGCTGAGAGCAGAGGTGGTAGCAGGCCAGTTGGAGGGATCTGCTCCATCAAGATGGACATCTTGTCCATCTTTGTCTTGTCCAGTAGCACCTTCTGTCTTGCCAAGCACATTTCTGGGGTCCTTTTCCAGCGAACTGTCTCTTGTGCAGATTAATGAAACAAATGAAGCTGGACTGATTTTTGAGAGACACTTCCCTTCATGTCTCCCTCCAAGATGGTAGGGCTTCATGGGGGGTAGGGGCTGTGACTTTTTCCTTACACGAGGTCAAAATATCTTCAAATTGGATAATAGTGAGGAGAGAGGCCAAGTGACTCCCTGTTCTCCTCATTCTATAGGCATGAACTCCATTGGTTCTTGATGGCCCAAAGCCAAGAGTTGGTGGAGGAGGGACTGATGGGAAGCTGGAGAGGGGGCAAGGCTCGACAGTCTTTCACCCTCATGGCCTGGCTTGAGTCGCACCGAGTTTTCCTTTCTCTGAACTCCTTCCTCAGAGATGCCCCTGTGCCACCTCCTTTGCCATCCCAACTTGCCCGACATGCTCATGGAATGCCGAGAAATGCGGCCAAACCACTCACTCCAGCTCTGGTTCCTCCCCCCCTCCACTATCCAGCTGGCCATCCCCCCATCATTCTCTACACTCTCCAGAAACCTTCAAGGAAGCAGCCCCAGAGAAGTGAACAGTCACCCAAAGTAGCTCCTGGGAGACACTTGGGTAGATGCATAGAGGCAAAGGTTGGCAAGATGCTGTCGAAATGTCAAACTTCCTTTTACTTCTTGGTGGAGCAAAACCCTGGATGCTGGTCTGCACAGTGGTGTGATCAGAAAACCTTCGTTCGGAGCTCGGAAGTCATGTGAGGATGGGCTGGGATTTTTCTGTGGCACCAAGGCCCCCACTCACATTCCTCTTGCACAAATCTTCTCTCCTTTCATTGCCATTAATCACAGGCTCCGAGCTGATAAACTTTGGGTGCTACGGAGAGCAAACACTTTGGCTTAGTGCGGAAGGCCAGTCATTAGTATTTCTTTCAGGCTATTAATAGGGCCCAGAGAAACTTTAGCAGAAGTGGATTATCAGAAGAAAGTGGCCTTGGCATGGCTGGTTGTGAATTATAATGAAAAGAGCGAGTTTCCTGAGTATTTTGCTGAATGCTTTTCTCTTTCCCTTTGTCAGCAGCATTCAGGCGAGAAACTGGAGCTGAAGAGACCAGGCGATGTCTGCTGTGTGGTTAGCACAGCGATCCAGAGCCACACGCCAGGGATGGAAGCCAGCCCTCAGAGCTCCCCCTCCCCCAGCCCTTTCCTGGGAATCCAGTGTGGTCAGCAGAGCCTTTGGAAATTGGAATTGTTTGGAGGTAAATCAGAGCACAGAGAAGCTGGGGCGCAGAGTTAATTACAGAGGCAGTGACCCTGGTCTGGTCTCTCTGGGGCTGGCTGGTCCAGTTTCCCAGCACTGCAGCCCTTTGAAAAGTAGGAGGGGGGGGGAGGATGGTCCTCTCCTGCCTTTCCCCTTCCCACCCCTTTGCCTTTCTCTGGCCTGCCTTCTCCCTCCCTCTGATGCTGCTTACAGAGAAGGTGGAGCTGCCTGCTTGGATCCTTGCCAGTGTGGGAGGCCTGGAAACTCTGAAGGCTGTCCCGGTCACCAAGGTCTTGCCATCAACAGAGCCACCTTCCTCTGGATGACTCCCACTGGCTTTCATGGGGCCTCTAGACCCAGGGTGTGGAGCTTTGGTCTCTTTGTTTAGAAACTACACTCAGGAGAGTTGATCACCCAATGGTTTTAGGTGTCAGCAGAAGAGAGAGAGAACGAAATAAGCCCAGTGAGAAGCCACCCACTTGTCCTTCAAACTCACAAGGACGTGGGAGGCAGAAAGAGAGGCAGGAGACAGTAACGTGGGGATGCTATAGTCATTTCTACTGAGGCAAGTGCTCAGACGATCAGGAGCTTCCACATATGAGCGGAGGGTTGTCTCCCCTCTGCAGGCACAGGAGAGGGACAGAAAGAAAGCATCACAATAAATACGGCCACTTCTTTAACGTATGCTCTTCAAGTATTGCTTGCTGTAAACAGTGTTTGGTTTTTGCTTTCTCTTTAATTGCAAGAAACCACCGGCAGATTGGAGTGGAACCTAAAGCCAAACACCCACATCCCCAAATCAGCTCCCGAATGGAATCTCCTGGAGTCCTGGGCCACACACTCCAGGCCCTTTTCCCAGGGGGGCCTGGTTTATGACAGTGACTGATGTAAGGCAAAGCTGCCCAGTGTCCTCGGGGAGGCCAGGTGTCTGCTCTGGGAGAGGCCCACTTCTCCCCCACTTCTGACAGTAACTTTAGGGGAACCAAAGGGAAAAGTACCAAAGATCAGCTCCTCATTTCTTGAGGTTTGAGATTAAATAAAAGAAAAACAAAAAACCCAGTAGCAAAAAGCATTGGTACCCTACAGACACAGCTCTCCCCTCCAGAGATGAGAATATACACGTGTGTGGTCCATAAAGCTCCACTGGTCGTCAGCCAGGTTGAGCCCCTCGGTGACTCCACAGTCGGTGCCAAGTTCAGTACTTGCCACGGTCCTTGGGCCGCCGGGATGATTCCAGCTTGTACTGGCCTCTCTTTCTGCGAAGTGTTTGGTGTGAACTTGTGCTCATTCTTCTCCTCCTTCTCATGTTCTTGTAATCTCAAGGGAAAGCAAATGATCGTTTCCCCTCCAATTCCTCTCAGCTTCTCTTTGTAGGCCTTTTCTGGCATTTGGAAATGGGAGTCATTCGAGGAAGACGGGGAGGGCGGGGAGAAGAAATGGGGACGGAAATCAGATTGAAACAGAAGTGGGACGGGATGAACAGGGAGGCTTTTTGTTTTGTTTTATTTCTGGTTTTTTTTTTTTTCCTTTTTCTTAAAAAAAATTAAATAAAGTTCTCATTATTTCCCCAATATACAACAAATGAGTTTTCATGCAAAGCAGCAGTCAGAGGCAGAACTGTTCCCCAGTTCGTGCCTCTCGGCTTGAAGAACCACCTTCCCAGCGCCCCCTGCCTCTCTGGGGTTCGCTGTGGGTGGACGATGCCCACCGTCTGTCCCTGTAGGAGCGGCGCTGATGGGCCGTGGCTGGCGTGGCGGGGAGGGGCCCTCCCCTCTCCCCGGTGTGGGGTCTCAGGGGACAGCAAGCTCTGGGGTCTGATCCCCTTCACTTGTCCTGCCTTCCGAGACTCCAAGTGTGACAGCTTTCCCAGACCCCTCTTCCTGGGAACGTGAGGCTCCGTCTCTCAGCTCTCGATGGACATAGCATTTAGGAGCTGCTCCACCTTGTACGCCAGCCGCTGTCGGCGGGCCTGCTCGTCCTGCTCCAGGGCCCCGATGAGCTGAGGAGCAAAAACAAAGGTGGAGGTAGAGGAAGGAATTTAGGAATTTAGGTAGAGCAAGCCATTGGCCGAATCCTTCATCCCTCTACCTGCCTTTCCGTTCTGCCCTAATGAACACAACCTGAGATGCTATAAATGATTAACTGAATATAGGTATGTATGCACGTGTGTGTGTGTATGTATGTACGTCTACATGTATGCACATACATGTATATATCTTAAAACAATGTGTTTAAGACCGTATTTGGCATATCTGACAAAGTGCTATGTAAATATTAGCTATCATCATCATTCTTATTACTACTAATGCTAAGTTCAAGGACAATGCCAATGCATGCCTTGAGAATTCTCCAGAGCTGTCCTCTGCGCCCTCTGCTCATGTTAGGGCCCACCTGTGTACCTGAAACATGACTGACAGCGTCTGCCCAAGCACAAGGAATAGTCTGATTCATTGTTTAAGAAAGGATGAAATTAATTGTACGACACTTTGAAAGGAACAATTACGTTATGAAAAGTGTTATTTATTGTGTTAACAATGAGTGCAAGACAACGAAATGTGTAAGAAAGCTCTGGATGAATCAGAGAGAAGCTGCCGTCTAAGGGAGTGGTAATGAGTTTTGAGCTCATGGGTTTCTGACTCCATGACTATGTTGTCTGAATTACCCTCTGTTGCTCTTATCGAAGGGCTGAGCCAGGCGTTCTGAGTAACTGCCATCCTGGCTGCGTGTGGCTCTCTGTCCCCTCCCGGGCCTCACCTTACCTCTTCGCTATACTTGCTGACGTAGGAGTAGATCTCATTGAGGGCACTCAGCATATTGAACTCGGCAGCGTGCAGACGGGACTGCTCAGCCAGGTAGGCGTTCATGTCCTGGTCACTGATGGCGGGCAGCTTGGCGATGTCCGCGTAGTATCTGCCGTACAGAGGACAGGCTCCTTAGCGGGGACCCGGTGCCCATTCACCTACAGGACTCTGACCTCAGGCCCCTTGAGAGCACCGGATGTCCCCAGTTGCTCCTGCCTCCCTCTTTCTCTTCTGATGTGACTTCCTCTGGCTCCTTGCCTCAAGCTAAAGGTTGAGGCCTAGAGACTGGTGCTCACTAGGCCAGACTCCATCCAGCTGGGAGCTTCCGCTGTGGGGGCGGGGGCCAGAATGCTTAAAAGCCCAGACTCTGACCAGACTCTGACTGGACTCCTTATCTTCCAATCCCAGCTCTACTACCTGCTGGCTGTGTGACCTCAGGCAAGTTACTTAGCCTCTTTGTATCTCAGTCTCTTCATCAGTAAAATGGGGTTACTTTGCAACCCCGTTTTAATGAGATGATACATAAAAAAATCTTTATCACAGCACTGGTTGCTTAGCATGTGCTCAGTAAAATGTAATCAGAATGATAATGATCTGACCTCCAAGGGCACAAAAGTTTCCCCTTCTCCCCCCCAGCAGGAAGTTTGGATAAAGGGGAAGGATGGAAGCATGAGATCCAAATGTACCACAAACACGGTTGTGGGTTGTGAGTCCTCAGTGAGGCCCTGTGATGGAGCAGACAGATGGTGGTGCGGGCCTGTCCTGGGGAGGGGCTACTGACCTCTCCACCCAGCTCTTGTAGCTGGGGATGTCCTTGGCGTAGAGCAGCTTGTTGGAGGGGGAGTCCTTGCCCAGCCGGTGCTCTGATGTGGAGCAAGAGTCCATGAAGGTCTGGGCCACCACGGACAGGCAGGCGTCCGTGATGCTGCCCTTGTGGATGTCAAACACAAACTGGGGGTTCTTGATCACGTTCACCCAGAAGCGCAGAGGGAGGCTGTAGAAGAAGGCAGAGCAGACCTTGAGGGCCGAACCTCTGCCGCACCCTTAATGTTGTCCACGAATATTCCTCTCCTCCCTCTACAAATAAAACTTCTCTCCCCCAGGGCAAGGGAACGCAATCACTGAGAGCTGCTCCAGCCAGGACGGCGAATTTAGCCTAAGCTGTTCCTGATCCTGGGAAGAAAAGGAGGGGCACCATTGTACCCTAACTGGGTGCTGACCCTGAGCCTTAACCACCGAGGGGTAGCTGTGGGTGTGTTCTGTTCCGTCCTGGCAGCTTTTCCCAAAGGCCTCCATGCCCCCAGGGAAGCCCAAGGACAGAGAACTGCGTGATTTTCTCAGAGCTTCAGACAAAGCCACCAGACTCCTAGAGTCCCTTCGCAGTGCCCATGGCCATTGTGCTGAAGGATGCAGCCAGCAGGCCCAGGCGCTGCCTGGGAGCCCGCACAAAGGGGGCCACCTGTGCTCCCCACCCAGCCTGGCCCCTTGCGCCGCTTCCCAGGGCCGGCCAGGCCTGGTGGGGCTGAGGAGTGGGCCCCCCTGGGGCAGCTCTTTCAGGGCTCTCCCCAGGGCTCTCTCCTCTCTGGGCAGGGGCAGGGGGAGGAGAGGAGGCCATTGTTGGCCTGCTGGGAATGAACTCACTGTAGCTCAGAGTTTTTCCCACCCCAAGAGGAACTGATCAGTCATCAGGAGTGTTCTTTCTTGCATCTTGGGAATGTGTACAGAGGAGAATGGGTTTTCTCTGCTCCTGTGGCCATGAGGAGGATCAGCCCACTGACTCCCCTTCAGAAGCAGAAGAGCCCGCTGTTTCTGTGCCTTTTCCAACTTGGCCTTCTCCTCCGGCTGCCTTCAGGGCCCTAACTCCTGGGCTCCTCTGTCGAGTGACCTTTGTTCCCCGGCGTGTCCTTCTGGCCTGAGATGGGGGTCCAGAAATCCAGCCTACCTCTCATGTCCCCTTCTTCACCTTCTCTTGAGCCTCAAGGTCCCCAACTTTCCCAAATGTCTCAGTCACGCCAAGTCTTGGGAAGATCCACTTTGCCCACTCCAAATCCTTCCAGGATGATTTCTGCTGATCTTTCAAAGGACCACAGGATCGCTCTTTCCTGCAGAGCTGCCTCGGCTGAGAAGTGACTCATCTCTTCCACCCTCCCGTCCTCCGGCAGCTTTGAGGAGCTTCTAATATTCTTTCCGTGGACATTAGCTATTTGAGGTCTGGATAAGGGGACTCTTCCTGCCGCAACTCCAGGGTAGGGCATTTCTATGACCTGGGCCTATCTGGCAACAGAAGGCAGCGAGATGGGGATGATCCAGAACTTTCTCTTCATCTCCCTGAGATTGCACACTTCCAGCACTGGGCTGGGGAGTCTTCCAAAGCAAAGGAGACAGCCATGGCCCTGCCCCTGGGAATGCAGACGCAAGGCCTGCCCCGGTGAAGTGCGCTGTGGGCTCCTCACCCGCGACCACCAGAATCTTCCCCATTTCACTACCCTGTGATCAAAGCTGCAGACTCCAGAAGGCCAGCAACCACAGCATCTCAAAGAAGAAAGGATTATATGGGTTTGGGTTGGGTTTTTCCAAAGTGTTTTGCTGGTTGCTAGGATTTTTTGATTCCCAAATAACAGCCGGGGCCCATCTGTGTCGGCTCTGTTTTCTGAGGAGATCGTTGACTCCAGACAGCTGTGTGGGCTGCCTGCCCAACCCAAATGCCTGGACCTCCTCTCTCTGGGCTCTTGCCTGGAGGGAGGTTTTTGACTCCGGCTCTGGGCCAGGCCCTGTCTGACCTAAAAGCCAGTCCTCAGCTCGGTCTGTGGTCTAGATCTCAAACCCAGGAGACAAAAGTCGTCTGCTAGGGGCCTGGAGGAGCCCCTTCTCCCACTGCTGTGTGTGACCGCAGGGGTTACCTTAGGGACGAGAGTCATGCCTAAAGGACATATCCCTCCTGCTGCTTCCCGAAACCCATGGCGCCAGGGTCATAACTTGGACTTAAGGAATCAAGGTTGCCATGACATCCTCCTGGTTGGTGGGCTCAAGTCTGTAGCAAGTGCAAGCTCCCTCCCCAGGGGTCTATGTTCTGTTCAGGGCTTCCCCGTCTCAGGAGGAGGTGTCTTCAGCTCTGCCCTGCCCAGAATGCCTGACGCTGCCTGGCTTTGAAGCCCTGCAACTAGCTGTCTCCAGTGTGGCTCCTCGGGTTCCTCCAGCAACCCTTCTTGAGAACCAGAGGTCTCAGAGTCAGGGAGGAAGTGCTGCCTGGGAAAGGCTCTCAATCAGAAAGGGCAGAGCTCAAGCCCGTGTCCTGGTGCCGGCCCTCAGCCAGGCAGGCCCCGCTTGGCGCCCACAGCCCAGGGACCACGTTGGCTCTGCAGAGCATATGTGCGCTGTTTGTTCTAGGAGCCTCAGATTACCCAGCCACCGCGACGAAGGGGCTCCCCCATCCCCCTGGTCCCTGCCGGCCCCACCTCCCACAGCTTGTGGCCTCTCCAGGCTGCAGCTAGGCCCCCTGGGCTCCCCAAGGGGTTACCAGTTGCTTTTCCAGGTGTGCCGCACATCTGTGTCGTGGATGCTGTGTCTGTCTGCCTGCTCATCCAGGAAGTCAAACATGTACTTGATGGCCAGGGGGAGAGCGCTGCCCCGGTGCACCGTGCTGAACAAGGTCTCAAACAAGTCGTCCACGAACTTCTGCAGGGTGCCCTGGGGGAGGGACGGGGTGGGGGGGACAGCGTGAGGGGGAGGGGGGGGGGAGGGGGGGGTGCAGGCAGCAGACGGGCAGACCAGATGGTGCCTTGGACTGATCCTGCCTTGGAAATTTGTCGGCGGCGCCAGGCTGTGCAGACAGCATGGTGGGGGTGGGGAGGGGGCCGTGGGGGTGTCGGGGAGATGGGAGGGACTGAAGAGGCTGCAGATTCCTGGGAAGAACCTCTCTTCCAACCCGCAGCCACATGCCCCACCTATGCCTGTGTCCGCACCAGGCGGGACCGGGCTCAGGGTGTGGGGCAGGAAGACAGTGAGGGCTCCGAGCCCCGGCTGCCCACAGGGACTGGTGGGCGTGTGCTGGGATGACAGCGTGTCTGAAGAACAAGCTGGAGGACCCTGAGCCTCCTGGTGAAGATGTTTGCCATATTTGTGGCCTGGGTGCTGCAGGTGAAGGGTCCAGATCCAAGAATACCCAGGTGCAGCCCCCACCCACAGGGCCCTGGAGGGTCTCTGGGCAGGAACAAGGCTGGGCCTGGGTCCCCCAGGCTACAGGTTCAAGGGACACACCTCTGAAGGTTCGGAACACATCCAGCCTTTTCTGGTGGCTCTGTTGGTCTCTTATTAGCATATTAGGAAAAGCAAAATTTAAGACATATGGTCTGAGGGTGTATTTCTATGTCCCTTTGGGGAGCAAGTCAGAGCTGTAATCTGGATGCCACTGTGGGAGAATTTCAGCAGCATTTTTGTGGGGTCAGTGGGGGAGAGTATTTGAAATCTGACCTCTGCTGGCAAAGATGGGCCATATGATCGCCATGCTTACAGGCATAGTTGTTCTCTGCTCGGGAAGCTGGAAGACAGCTTTAGATCTTAGCTTCCAGCACTGTGGCTACCTCACCTCCATCAGCATTTGGGGGCCGATGGGATGGGGCAGGGAAGGGGGAGCCTTCTCTCCGATTACTGGCAGGACCCGGCCTTTGTGTTTTCTCTCTCACTGTGGCCAGAAAGTGGGTGGAAAAGGCCTCGACGGTGGAGGCCAGCTAACATCAGTAAGAAAACCCCAACATTTTCCTAAAAGGTACAGGGACCCAGAGATGAGAGCAGCTCCTCTGAAGAGTAATGGTGGTCTTGAGGGGTGGGCCAGGGGAAATGATACTATTGCAGTTTTTGCCAAAAGGTAGAGAACAACAGTGGCCTGATCCTCTGGAAAGCCTGCACTGGGACCTGGACCTATTCGTCTGAATGGGCCCCCTTAAAGGACAGACTCCATGACATCCTTATGCTGGGGCGTCGGGGTGGAGGGTGGGCAGGACATACCCCTCTAAGGAGCCCTCCCCAGGCTGGGCAGAGCAGGAGTTACCTTGGTGGCCAGTAGCCGGGTCAAGTAGATCTCAGATACCATCTTGCTGCCCCGGTCACCCTCCTTCTGATCCCCATGGTCATGGTTCTTCACCAGATGCCACACCTTAACCCCACTCTCCAGGTCTGGGGTGATCATGGGGGCTCGGGACCGCAGGCTGTCGGGGCTCCCTGTGTACCTGAAGGAGGCGTCTGAGGAGAAGGGGCAGCGGAGGCTCATAAGACACTGATTTCACCATCCTTGCTTGTAGAATCCTTCTAGAATCTTTGCCTGCCTACTGCACTCACTCAGAATAAACTAGTTTCAGTTGGAAGAGGACCCCTGGGACCTCATATTTGGTGGGTTATTTTGGAATCCTTGGCTGGCACGAGGACAGAGGAGCCTGATGCCTTTTCTTTAAAAAGAAGATTTAGAAATTCTGTGAGCTGGAGAGAGCCTTGAGAATTTGGGAGCCCCCCCCCACCCCCGATGCTTCCACAGCAAAGAATAATCAATAGGTAAAATGTCAGCTGAATATTTTCATAGGGGCTTTGATGAAAAATCTGGGTGCCGAGAAGCTATAAGCTGTAATGCCCCCTCTTGGGAGTTAACGGGTCCTTCTAACTTGGGGTCTAGGGTATGGACTTGCCTAAGCCATTTTTGGAGTGGCAGGGCCCAGTCCTGGAGGTGTCCTGTAGCTGGACAGCCCAAAGCCTTATTGCAAACACAAAAGCAGAGGACATGGAGCAAGAGAGAGTGAAGCATGGTCACCTCATTGCCCAGCGGACACTGGGGGCCCTTGCACCCTCAGGGGTGGGTAGGCTAGAATGGCCCATCTACTGCCCCAATTGGGACACTTTTGAGAGTAAAGGGGGACCATTAATAACTCAGCCAGAATAACAGGTAAAAACAGGGACTGGCAAGTAGGAACCCCCATCCACGTGCCTCCCTGATTCCAGGCCCCTCGCACTCCTTCACCAGGTGGGGGCTGTCAAAGGAAGGGCGCGCAAGGCAGCCGCTCCCGCAGCTCTGAGGTCTTGGCTGCTCTGGGAGTGACTGCACTTGGGAGGAGGGGAGGCAAATGATTGATTGGCGGAGGGCAGCTGCAAGGGCTGCTTGCTGTCGCGGGGGGCGGTGAGGCGTCCCTGGGAGGTCACGGAAGCTGCCTCCGAGCTGCCCAGGCTACCTTCCTGGTCCTCACCGTATCTGCCGATGGGTGTCCTCGAGATGCTGGCAGAGGCTGGGATGTTGTAGGAGGACGTCTGTTTGGGGACCAGAGCCACCACCGATCTGTCTGACACCTGAGAAGGGTACCAAAGGTACAGTGTGGGTGAACCAGGAAATTCATCTGTCAAGTACTTCTAGAAGGTAATGACACAGGAATGGGGTAGAGCACAAGGAGTTCAGGAATACTAAAAATAATATGGTTGCTACTCGCCAAGGATGTCCGATGTGGTAGTTACTGGCCGCCTGTGCCGACGGGCGCTTGAAATTCAGTCAGTCTGAATGGAGATACGTTGTCAGTGTCTAAGCTACAACCTACTAACTGTAACACGAACTATTATGCTGTAAACACATAATACACACTGGGTTTCAATGACTTAGCGTGGATAGAATAACACAAACGATCTCATTAATAATTATTCTGTTGATTCCATGTTGAAATGGTAATTATTTTAGAATCAACTAGGTTAAATAAAATACATTGTTAACACTAATTTCATTGGGTTATTTTTACTTTTTAAATGTGGCTAGTAAAACATTTTAAGTTACATGTGTGGCTTGCATGATCTTTCTACTGGACAGCCAGGGCTAGACCCAGCCTCCCTTCAACCCTGTGCATTTGTACGGTTATTCCCATTTTACAGGTGAGGAAACTGAAGCGGAGAGGGGCAAAGCACCGTCTTCCAAGTCACACAGAGACTACACGGTACAATCAGTATTTTTAGCCAGGTCTGTCCAGGCTCCAGGGCGCATGTGCTCCCCATTATATCCTAATTTGGGATTTTATTTCAAGTCATACTGGTCTGAAGCCCATTTTCCCTTTTGGCTTTGATTTCTTTCTGGCCTGGGTCCTATAACGCTCGGGCCACCTTGAGGAGTTTCCCCAACAGAGCAGCTACTCTTGGGGAGTCAGAGGGAAAGATGGCGTGTTTCCCTGTCCTCTGTGAGGCACCCAGGCTCAGCACCCAGGCTGGAGGGAAAGGGCTGATAAATGAGGAGCCATAGTGAAGACATTTGGGGCCATTTTGATATAAGATTACTCTCCATCCAATAAAAACGGAGAATCCCCAGAATTGTGGCGATCCAATTAAACCCCTAACGCAGAGGGAATAAAACAGCTATAATAATGTTATGGGCCATAAAACATTCCTATTAAACCATTTTTTATTTTAACAATTTTTATGAACTTTATAAGTTTGATTTATAGCTGCACCAGTCGTAAAACCATCTTTCTGGGTCTTAAATTGTCAGTCCCTCTCTCCCACCAAAAAAGAATTAAATGTTGGGAAGTCAAACTATAAATGAACATTAGTGCTAACGAGATTCCCTGATAGCCGGTTTTAGCAGTGGTGTTTAATTTTACCCTCCCTATAAATCTGAGGGAGCCCAGGAAGTTTTTTAACATCTCTTTGTTAATTAAGATTATGCAGATTTTCTCCTGTGGGGGCTTCCAGGACCTTTGACTCCAAGGAGGGTCCTGAGGGGGCAGTGCTTTGACTTGGAGGCAGAAAGCTGCAGGGCCCTGGGCTCTTGTGGGCGCGTGGAAGGGGCCCAGGCTGCATCACTCCGCAGCGGGGACGGTGTCCTGGACGGCCAGTGGTCCGCACCATCCCCTCCAGCTCTGGAACTAAGGGGGGATGGGCCTCTCCACCTCTGTCTTTCAGGAACTCTCCTTGCCTAGAAATGATTCTCTGAAAGCCTGGCAGGGGCAGGGGATGATACTCCCAGGAAGAACAGATTACATTCTTCATGTATGGTTTGTTGTCACCTGGAGGATTCATAAGGTGACTCGAATGACCACCGTTCAACCCAATTCCAGGTCTTGTCACTAAATCTCTCTTGTCTTCAGTCCCAGCCTTTCTTTTTCTTGACTGACAGGCAATGCAAATCCACGGTCAGGCTGCCCGGCCGGGTCTGACTTTGGCTCTGCCACTTACTAGCTACGTGACCTCAGCGAAGTCAGTTAACCTCTCTGCGTCTCTGTTGTCTCATTTGTTGATGGGGATAATAATGGCATCTAGGTTTGTCGTGAGGCTCAAAGGAGTCAGGACACAGGAAGGCTGGCAGCAGTGCTGGGACCCGGTGAGCACTCAGTGAGCGCTGATATCGGTGTTGTTATTAGGAGCATCACCGTCATCATCACTGTCCCCCAAAGGGAAGAATAATCCCTGTTGTTCCCTGTCACTCAGGGCTGGCATGTGGGAAGTACCTTGCACTCGGGACAGCTCAGTAAATATTTGAGGAATGAATGAATACATGAATGAGAAATGACATTGGGGAATTGAAAGTGCTCTGTATGATGAGCACTGGAAGAACAGAATATTCCATTCTGATTGGGAGCCTTAGGACGGACAGCCCAGTAACAAGCGTTAGGGCATCACAGACAGAAAAGAAAGGCCTCCCTCCTGCCCTTGAGAAACTTCTGATTCGAAGGCACGATGCTATTCTCTTTTGTGCTTTCTTCTTCGGCTCAAACTGGTTCATTAACAAGTGTTCTCCAGGACGCACTAAGTGCTGTGTGAGGGGAGGG